TAGATTTGGGACCAAACCCTCAAAACTATCAACCTTTCACGTCGAGGTCAAAGGCAGCGTCGAGAATAGTAAGGTGTATTCGAATCTCGTGAAGGAGGTATGGTGTTTGGTTTAAGAGAGTATCAAGGATGTGTGTAGGGATGTGTTTAGGCTAGGCTAAGAACATGAAAATTTAAGAGAGGAGAGAGAGAGAATATTAGAGGGGGTATTGATTATGATTGTTGGTGAATGAAAACGGGGTGATACAACCTCTATTTATAGGGAAAAAGAGAGTTGAAACGATCAGTAAAAAAGTCAGAATTCAAATCAAAGTAAAAAAGGTCTCATCGCGACGCGACAGCTTTATCGTGGCACGATGAGCCTATCGCAGCGCGATGGTTTTGTCACTCGGTGATGGTTTTGAAAAAGATAGAATCCGTATGGAGTTTGATTCCCAATTGGATTGGTTTAAACAAATACCCGTACTTATTCTATTTTGACCGGGATTAGGATCATTGAAAAACAGATGTTTTATCCGACGTAAAATTCTTAAATATCTATCTTTTAGAAAACAGGATAAATTAGAACCTTCTAGAGGATTCTAGAAGCTCATAATAAATTCTAATGGGTTAAGGAATGGGGTTAAGGTAAATGGACCCTCCACATGATCATTGGGTCGCAGGTAAGGCTTGGTTCGGGCTCGTTTTAGTATTTTGGCCATAACTTATTCGTTATAAGTCGGATTTAGGCTTATAAAATATCGTTGGAAAGCTCTTTTCAAACTTAATCCAAATAAAAATTATTGGACCGAGATCATGGACCAAAATGTACTGATTTGGATGTTTTTATAAAGTGGACACGAAATAAATGATTTTGGTTTAAAACATTTAAAGAAAGGCTAGAAATGATTAAGGCTAAAGGAAATTCACGAGACTCTCCAACTCTTCACTTAACTCGATAATCAAAGACGTGAAAGGTACTCATCACTGGGTTAGGTTTTTGGGGAGACACAATCAGGTGTCTACACTCTAGCCGATCCAGGAAGCTGATGAACTAGTTACTCCGGCGTCGGGACTTGTTCATCCTTCTTGTAGTCCTATTCTTAGAAGCGATGTTAAGGCTATAGCTTTGTATTATGGAGATATTTTTAGGCTAGCAACTTCAGATTCCAATCGAATAGTACCTAGGGTTTCTAGGGTTACTGTCCTATTGGATTCTGGAGTTGGTGGTTGTCAGCCTAAGACCACTGTGCCTGATCCTAAACCTGTTCCTTCAACTGAGAAAGCTGCAACAAGAAAAAATGGAAAGGATTTGACTAGATTAGTCAATGGCAAGCTGAATGCAAAAGGAGCTCCCTTATCTTGTGTTGCCCCGAAAGTACAAGATAGGAAAATAAATTGCTCAATTGCAAGATTCTGAACTAGATGCAAATAATCAGAAGTGGTCTAATGCTCTAGTTTTCTATGTTGTTGGGTTTTAACCTACTACTACTGTTATTCATCGTTTTATAGCTCAACAATGGAGTAATGTGCAAAAACTAGATATATTCTGGCATGATGATGGGTATTTCATTATTAAACTACATTCGATTGATGATAAAAATGAAATACATTGTTTAGGACTTATGTGGATTTAAACCCCTTAACTTAATAAAGAATCTAAAATCACACAAGTAACACAAGCCCTTCGAATTTCGTTAGAAAATCGAACAACTTAAAGATAACAAACCGGATATGACTTTGAAAACGACCACTCCTGGAACGAATTCAACGCCTCTCAAATTACCTAGACCACTCCTGGAACTAAGTACTTTGATGAACAAAACTTAGACTACTCCTAGAACTAAGAATTGAACGTTCTAATTATCAAAACAACTCCTTGAATTGAAAACTAGCAAAAGAATTTGTAAGCAATTAAGCAAAACAAACAATAAACTTGTATTGAATTTTCTGGTTTTTTTTGTGTACAAAGCCACGAAAAATCCCTTATTTATAGACTAAAACTAACTATTCCTAAGTCTATTCAAACTAGAAAAAACCCTAGCCTTGATCCCAAAGTATCCTAGATAGAATAGGAAAACCAATTCTAATGGAACTAGGAAACTAGTAATAAGACTAGTTCTAATTAACCTAAAACTTCTTAAAACAATTCCTAATTGACTTAGAAATTATTTTAAACTAAAATAACAGAAATTAAGAAGATTCCTAATTGCTTAAACCAAGAAAAACCCTTTCAAGTGAAAGGTAAAAACTTGCAAGCAAAAACTCTAGAAAGAACTAAGTTAGGATAATCTTTCTTTTCGTACTGCCGCCGAACCACCACCTCACGCGCCGCCATCATCGACACGCGCCCCACCGCCGTGTAGCTGGACTCAGGCCGGAGCTAGGGAGCCGGCGCGTGGCACCAGATCGGCGCGTCGCCGCCGCTGCCGTCGTCGGAACCCAACTGGTCCTTGACTTCTTCTTCAATGGCTGCGCATGTTAACCATTCTTGATTCTTTACTCCAAGCTCGAACCCTATTGGCCTTAAAACCAATATGATTGGCTCTTTAAAAGAATTTCCCTCTTGATTCACATCATTCTCCCCCTCTTCAAAAGAATTTGTCCTCAAATTCACATCATCTAGGTAAGGAGTCAAATCACCAACATTAAAAGTAGCACTTACATTACCATATTCGCTTGGTAAATCAAGTTTGTAAGCACTATCACCATAAACTTCCAAAACCTCAAAAGGGCCGTCAGCTCTAGGCATGAGCTTGTTCTTCCTTTTGTTTGAAATCTTTCCTTCCTTAAGTGTAACCAAACAAGATCTCCCGGCTTGAATGTAGGTTGCTTGCGCTTTTTGTTTGACCTTTCTTTGTAGAAGTTATTCATCTTCACAATCCTTACTTTAACTTGTTCACATGTCCTCTTAAAAACTTCAAGCCGTTTCTTAGCATCAATATGGATGTCCTCTTTGTTTAATGGCAACAAATCAATAGGCAAGAATGGATTAATACCATAAACAACTTCAAATGGAGCTTGTTGTGTAGTTGATGAAGGTGACCGATTATAAGCAAACTCCGCATGGCAAAGTCTCATATCCCAATCCTTTTGAGTCTTACTAACCAACCCTCTAAGTAAAGTACCTAAGGTTCGATTGGTTACCTCAGTTTGACCATCTGTTTGAGGATGATGAGAAGTACTAAACATGAGCTTTGTTCCAAGTAGCTTCCACAAACACTTCCAAAAGTGACTAAGGAACTTTGAGTCCCTATCTGAAACTATGCTTCTAGGAACTCCATGAAGTCGAACAATTTCCTTGAAGTATAGATTAGCTACATGTTGCGCATCATCCGTCTTGTGCATTGGAACAAAGTGAGCCATCTTTGAGAATCTATCAACTACAACCATAATAGCATCCTTCCCTCTTTGAGTTCGTGGTAGTCCAACAATGAAGTCCATGCTAACACTATCCCAAGGACAATTTGGAACTGGAAGAGGTGTGTATAAGCCCTTTGAAAAAGAACTCTTTGCCTTTTGACAAGTAGCACATCTTGAAATCACACTTTGAACATCCTTGATCATCTTTGGCCAATAGAAATATTCACTAAGCATATCAACTGTTTTGTGAACACCAAAGTTCCCCGCAATTGCACCACTATGCACTTCTCTAATAAGCAATTCACGCACACCACATTGAGGAATACAAAGTTTTTTACCTTGAAATAAGAAGCCATCTTGAAGCACAAAGTTGCGTGAAGGGTCTTTGTACTCTTTTGCCAAATCCGGACAGGTTGCATACAAATCAAGTATATGGTCAAAACCAATGATCCTAGCATCCACCATGGCTAGCAAATAAGATCTCCTAGATAGTGCATCGGCAACCACATTCGCTTTTCCTTCCTTATACTTTGAAGAAAACGTAAAAGACTGTAGGAACTCAACCCACTTGGCGTGTCTATAATTCAACTTTTGTTGTCCATGGATATACTTCAAAGCTTCATGATCCGAATGTAGCACAAAAGGTTTTGGTCTTAAGTAATGAGACCAATGATCCAAAGCACGTACAATAGCATAAAATTCACGATCATAGTTAGAGTAGTTCAACTTTGCACCACTTAGTTTCTCACTAAAGTAAGAGATAGGTCGTGCTTCTTGAATTAGAACCGCACCTATACCTGCTCCACTTGCATCACATTCAACTTCAAACAATTTATCAAAGTTAGGCAAAGCTAGAACCGGTGTATTGCATAGTCTTTCCTTGATTGTCTCAAATGCTTGTTGCGCCGAATTAGTCCACACAAAGTCCCCTTTCTTCATCAATTCCGTGAAAGGTGCCATGATACTAGAAAAGTTTCTAATGAACCTTCTATAGAACGATGCAAGACCATGAAAACTACGTGCTTCACGAATGTTTTTAGGCGCCACCCAAGTAGAAATAGCAGCCACCTTCTCGGGATCCACTTCAATACCCTTTCCCGAAATAATATAGCCAAGAAAAGAAATACTTGGAACCATGAATGAGCACTTTTCAAGTTTGCCATATAGTTGTTGTTCTCTTAAGGTTTCAAATAATCTTCTAAGATGATCAATATGTTCAATATTATCTCGACTATAGACTAATATATCATCAAGGTAAACGACAATGAACTTATTTAAGAAGGGTCGAAGTACCTCGTTCATGAGCCTCATGAATGAACTTGGCGCATTGCATAGCCCAAAGGGCATGACCATCCATTCATATAATCCTTGCTTAGTTTTGAAAGCAGTCTTCCATTCATCTCCTTCTCTAATTCGCATTTGATGGTAGCCACTTCTAAGATCGATCTTGGAAAATATGGTAGAACCATGTAACTCATCAAGCATATCTTCTAGTCGTGGCATAGGAAATCGATACTTGATAGTAATGTTGTTGACCGCTCTTGAATCAATACACATTCTCCATGTACCATCTTTCTTTGGAACTAGTAAAGCTGGAACCGCAAAAGGGCTCATGCTTTCACGAACATAGCCTCTTTCAATCAATTCGTCTATTTGTCTTTAAATCTCTTGGGAAGCCGTAGGATCGCACCTATAGGCTGGTTTATTAGGTAGAGGAGCTCCGGGAATAAGATCAATAGCATGCTCTATTCCACGCAAAGGAGGTAGACCTTTAGGAAGTTCCTCTGGGAACACATCCTTAAATTCATCTAGCAACTCTTCTATGTGCATGTTTGTTGAGGAACTTGTGGATTTCGCCTCTTTTATCACTAAGGCAAAGACCGTGGCTCCCTTTTCTACTTCACTCTCAAGTTCCTTAGCATTCAAAAAGAAATTCGGCACTTGCTTCTCTTTATCTTTGGTATGACCGTAGCTTGAATTAGGGGGTAGAGGATTGAGTTTGAACCTTTTGTTTCCTATTTTGACCGAATAAGTATTTGACTCACCATCATGTGTAACTTGACGATCAAATTGCCAAGGTCTCCCTAAAAGAAGGTGACAAGCACTCATAGGAATAATATCACACCATAACTTTTCTTTGTATTTGCCAATGGAAAAGCTTACTAAGGCTTGTTTCTTCACATGAAGTCCCTTAGAATCATCAAGCCAACTCAACTTGTAAGGATTCTCATGTACTCTTGTTGGAAGGTTGAGCTTAGTAACCATCTCTGTGGACGCCACATTAGTACATGAACCACTATCAATGATCACCTTGCATGATATATCTCCTACTTTGCAACGAGTATGGAATAAGTTTTCACGTTGAGATTTGTTAGGGTTTGCTTCGGCATGGAGGGTCTTCCTTACCACAAGCACTTTTTCATCATCTTCGGGATCAATCTCATCGTTCTCTTCCTCACTACTTGTTGCCTTAGTTTCGGATTCCTCATCGTCACACCCAAAAACTATGTGTTTCTCTTCTTCTACTTGTTGTTCGTATTGTCTTATTGTGAGAGCTTTCTTGGAAGGACATTGATCCGACCTATGTCCCTTTCCTTGACATTTGAAACACCTAATTCGGGATTCGAACTCTTCTTTAGATATCTTAACAAATTTCTTTTCTACACTTGTTGAGCTTTCTCCCTTAGACTCGTAGGAACTCGGTTTAAAAGGCTTGAAAGTTTTGCTTGTTTTGGTCCCTTGTGAGAACTTGGTACCAAAACTCTTTGTACGTGTGCTCTTCTTATCTTCGAGCCAATGACTTTCAATTTTTAAAGCTAATTTGCACACATCATTGAATGATTCATACGTACTCAATTCAATCTTCCTAGAGATAGTGCGATTTAGACCTTTAAGGAACCTAGCAATCCTCAATGGTTCTTTTTCATTCAAATCACAAAGAGAGGTTAGTTTATCAAATTCAGTAATATATTCGTTAACACTCTTAGTACCTTGTACCAACATAGTGAGTCTCACATATAGAGTTTGTTCGAAATCATGTGGAAGATATTTAGAACGCATCTTCCTTTTCAAAACCGTCCAAGTCTTGATTTTTTCTTTTCCTGCCCTAGCACGTCGTGCTTTCAAATTATCAAACCAAATTCCCGCATTCTTAGTGAGTCTAATATAAGCAATCTTGAATCGTTGGGAATCATCAAAACCCTTATAATCTGAAATTTTCTCTAATTGTCTCGCCCACTCAAGAAAATATTCGGGATTCCTAGACCCGTAAAATCATCAAGCTTGATACCTTTATCATCGATCTTATTCTTATTATGAGTATCATCATCACTACTAGAAGCATCACTATCACTATCATGCCGTTTTTTCTTCTTTTTCTTTTTATCAAGCAATAATTGTGAAAAAGCATTAAAACGTGCCTCCGTATTATCTTGCAATCTTGCAAATTCATCCATGAGTTTGCTCAAGGCTTCCTCCATGATTATAAGATAAAAACAGTCCTAATAGGACCCTACCCTCACAGGTAATTCCCTCAAAAGATCACAGCACAACTTCGAATAAAAACGCACACACAAAAACAAGTAGCAATTAATCGGACCAAACTGACACTGTTGCGGAAAACAGTCCAGTTTAATAGCAAACGACAGCCAAAATACTGACATTTTACAGGCAGAAAGTTGACAAAACTTCACCCAAAATCAGAAAAAGAATCGTCTCAAAAGACCTCGTAACGAAGGAGAACGAGCCCTCTGAAGTTGACAGAAAACCGGAAATCCGAGAACGAGTGCGCCTTGTAAGAACGAGTTGTGGAACGATCAAAATCTCCCCAAATCTGATACCAATTTGATGTGGATTTAAACCCCTTAACTTAATAAAGAATCTAAAATCACACAAGTAACACAAGCCCTTCGAATTTCGTTAGAAAATCGAACAACTTAAAGATAACAAACCGGATATGATTTTGAAAACGACCACTCCTGGAACGAATTCAACGCCTCTCAAATTACCTAGACCACTCCTGGAACTAAGTACTTTGATGAACAAAACTTAGACTACTCCTAGAACTAAGAATTGAACGTTCTAATTATCAAAACAACTCCTTGAATTGAAAACTAGCAAAAGAATTTGTAAGCAATTAAGCAAAACAAACAATAAACTTGTATTGAATTTTCTGGTTTTTTTTGTGTACAAAGCCACGAAAAATCCCTTATTTATAGACTAAAACTAACTATTCCTAAGTCTATTCAAACTAGAAAAAACCCTAGCCTTGATCCCAAAGTATCCTAGATAGAATAGGAAAACCAATTCTAATGGAACTAGGAAACTAGTAATAAGACTAGTTCTAATTAACCTATCTTAAAACAATTCCTAATTGACTTAGAAATTATTTTAAACTAAAATAACAGAAATTAAGAAGATTCCTAATTGCTTAAACCAAGAAAAACCCTTTCAAGTGAAAGGTAAAAACTTGCAAGCAAAAACTCTAGAAAAAACTAAGTTAGGAAAATCTTTCTTTTCGTACTGTCGCCGAACCACCACCTCACGCGCCGCCATCATCGACACGCGCCCCACCGCCGTGTAGCTGGACTCAGGCCGGAGCTAGGGAGCCGGCGCGTGGCACCAGATCGGCGCGTCGCCGCCGCTGCCGTCGTCGGAACCCAACTGGTCCTTGACTTCTTCTTCAATGGCTGCGCATGTTAACCATTCTTGATTCTTTACTCCAAGCCCGAACCCTATTGGCCTTAAAACCAATATGATTGGCTCTTCAAAAGAATTTCCCTCTTGATTCACATCAAGGACCTCATATGTTCTATGGGAAACCAGCAATTGTTAAACCTTGGAGCTCTAAATATGATTTTAATGCTAAAATTTTGAGAATTGTTCCTCTACAAGTTAAATTCCCTAATCTGCCATTGAATTGCTGGGTATCTGAAACTCTCAATCGAATTAGAAGCCTATTGGGTGTGCCAATTTGTGCTGATGAATGTACATCTAGGCAACTTAGGATGTCTTTTGTGAGGGTGCTTATTGAGGTAGATGTTACAAAAAATACTACCTAGTTCTATATTGGTGGAAAGTCCTGCTGGTGAGCTGTTGGAATTGAAAGTGGTGTATGAATGGACTCCCCCCTTTTTCTATAAGTGCAATAAGGTGGGCCATAATTTTGCTACCAAATCTACTCATGCTACAAAGCATGTTTAGAGCAAGCCAACAACTCATGCTAAGCAGCAACAGGTGTGGGTTCCAAAGCCTGTTCAAGCACCTGGTGCAGCTGCTCTTATTATTGGCAATACTATACATGGCCCTGTTGTTATTACACCAGCTGTTACTTCTAAACAAAATAACTCTAATGAAAGCTGGAGGGTTGTGGGAAGGAAGACTTGAAATCAGGGAAGCAAAACTGCACAACCTGCTACTACTTCTATTACATACATGGCTCTTATTGAAGATGAGGCTACTGGTGCAATTGGTTTTGTTCTTAGTCCTATCAAGGGTGAAGGTAATCCCCCTCTAGTGACATGATTATTGTCACCTGGAATGTTAGGGGGCTGAATGACCCTGGAAGAGTGGCTGATCTCAAGCAGCTACTTCGTTCTCATTCAGCTGATGTTGTTGGTGTGATGGAAACAAAAGTGAAAAAGAATAAAAGTTTAGCCATTCAGAAGAAGTTTGGTGCTGCTTGGACCTGGACTAGTAATTATGGTTTCTCTGAGAAGGGAAGAATATGGATTGGATGGAAGACTGATGTGCTCATTGTTGATATTATTTCCATCCATGAACAATTTATTCACTATCTAATCTGTCACAAGGACCTAACTTCTCAGTTATATTGTACTTTTGTCTATGGGTTACATTCTATTCTTGACAGGAAAAAGCTCTGGGCTGGTATTAAGAGCTTGTCCCTGCTCCCTTTGTCTTGGCTATGTGCAGGTTATTTCAATTCTGTTTTACATGCTGAGGACATGATTCATGGTAACCCTGTTACCGATATTGAAGTTAGAGATTTTTCCTCATTTCTTGAGGTGGAATTGGAAGAAATCAAGAGTAAAGGCTTCTTCTACTCCTGGTCAAATAAGACTCATGAAGGGCCTAGGACTTTTACTAGAATTCATAGAGGGCTTGTTAATTAAGCATGGATGAACTCTTATAGGCAGGTTGAAGCAGTTTAGTGTCCTCCTAAGCTCTCTAATCACTGTTCAATCTTGTTTGAGGTCTCTCCTGCCCCTCCTGCTCAAGGTAAACCCTTCAGATTTTTTAATTGTATAACTACTCATCCTAGTTTTCAAGATACTGTCCTAGAAGCTTGGAAAGTTGCTGTTTCTGGTAATAGCATGATGAGAGTTTGGTATAAGCTTAAAAAGGTGAAAATGGCTATCAAAACCCTTCACTCTCATGCTTTTGGGAAAACTGATAAGTATCCTTGCCTCTGCTCAGGCTCATCTTGGTAATATTCAAGTTCAAATGGCTGGCTCTTAGATGATTAGGCTCTTTGTGATGAGGAAACATAAGCTATCTAAAAAGTGAAGTATTGGAGGGATGTTCAAGAAAGAATTTATAAGCAAAAGTCCAGAATTGACTGGATCAAGCAAGGAGATGGCAATAATCAATATTTTTTTCTGCTATGAAACACAGGCATGGAAGGAACATGATTGATTCCATTTTTACTGAACAGGATGTGTTGCTTAAGGATCCTAATTTGGTTTCTGCAGAGATTATTGGGTTCTATAAGAATTTGTTAGGAACAAAGGCTATTGTGCTTTCTGTTGTTGACCTGGTTACATTGAGAAGGGGAAAGCAACTTAGTGTTGCTTCTCAGCAATTCTTAATTGCTCCAGTCACAGATTCTGAGATTGCAACAACTCTTCATGGAATTGATGACTCTAAAGCTCCTGAAATTAATAGATTTAAGGCCTTTTTTTTTAAGCAAGTCTGGCCTATTGTGTAGGAGGATGTTATTGCTTGGGTGAGGTATTTCTTCAATACTTGGAATATGTGTAAGGCCTGGAACTGCACTACTATTACTCTAGTTCCTAAAGTTCAAAACCCTTCATATGTGAAAGAACTCAGACCCATACCTTGATGTATAGTGCTTTACAAGCTTATTTCAAAGGTTCTGACAGCTAAACTTGGCAAGGTGATTGGGGAAATTGTTAATGATGTCCATGCAGGATTCATTCCAGGTAAGCATATTGGTGATAACATTATGCTTGCTACTAAATTAATTAAAGGGCATACACGCAAATTTATTACCCCAAGATTTACGCTAAAAGTGAACTTACGGAAGGCTTATGATTCCTTAGAATGGGGGTTTCTTAAAGTTGTCATAGCTGAGCTTAACTTTCCTATACAATTCATTGACTAGATCATGGGATGTATAACTTTTTGTTTCACTCTCTATTCTGGTTAATGGGTTTCCTACTAAGCCTTTCCTTGCTCAAAAGGGCCTTAGGAAAGGTGATCCCATCTCACCTTTTCTTTTTGCTCTGGCATGGAATACCTATCTAGGTGTATGCATGAGCTCTCTTTGAATCCTGATTTTAACTATCACCCTAAATGTGAAAAGATGACTTTAACTCATTTGATGTTTGCTGATGATTTGCTGCTATTTGCTAGAGCTGACATTACTTCTATTCAGTTGTTGTTCCATGCTTTCAATAAGTTCTTAGTTGCTTAAGGGATATTTACAAATCTGGATAAAAATGATGTCTATTTTGGGGGTGTTGAGACTAATGCTCAGGAGGAAATGAGAAAGTTGCTTGGCATTTCCCTTGGCTTTATCCCTTTTAGATATCTTAGAGGGTGCCTCTTTCATCAAAGAAACTGATTATTAACCAATGCAAACCTTAGTTGACAGGGTCACTGCAAGGATTTCAGGATGGACAGCTAAGCAGTTGTCTTATGCTAGTAGGTTACAGTTGGTTAAGGGGGTTCTATTTGGTATCCAAACAACCTGGGCTCAAATAATTATATTACCAAAGAAAATCCTTAAGGAAATTGAAGCTAGCTAGGTTCAGGGCTTTTCTCTTGAAAGGGCAAGCTGCAGTCTCTAGGAAAGCTCT